TCGGAATTATAGTCGCATGAACTCGAAATTTGAAATGCATAGATACCTATGGTAGGTGCTTGTGGAAAGATATATGCATATAAATGAGTTTGTAAAAAGGGGCGTGGGCACATCTCATAGGTGTGGAATCATTTATCAGCTATAACAGCAGGCAGTATTAATGATCTCATTTTTGAAGATTTGTTATAATTGATCAAAGTGAAATTCAAATAAATTATAGATATATATGAAGTTCACCGCGTCATCTTCTAGTCTTTAATATATACTAAGTTCATATACGGATTAATATTTACTAAAGTGTTACGAACGTTATTTTTTTAATACAATGAGAAAAAAATAACAATAATTTAAAGGAGTGACACACAATGGCTAGAGTCGTCGCATGTGTGTATNTATATGAAGTTCACCGCGTCATCTTCTAGTCTTTAATATATACTAAGTTCATATACGGATTAATATTTACTAAAGTGTTACGAACGTTATTTTTTTAATACAATGAGAAAAAAATAACAATAATTTAAAGGAGTGACACACAATGGCTAGAGTCGTCGCATGTGTGTATTCTTTCATATACATATATATTGGCTGTTCTTACCGTTATATATTTTTTATCCACTCGCTTATTCCTTACGGAAAATTTTAAATAAAAATTCAACAAGTTTTAACCACTGGGTAAACTTAATAAGCAAAATATATTCTCTGGTTAAATTAATAAGCCTGCCCGGATAACACAACATTCTAAGCTTGATAAGCATTTGGTGTTATAAAAGTTTTATAAAGTTCTACTTGTCATTAGGAAAAATGCCGGAAAAAAATTATACAATTGATTGGTTGATTGATAAAAATAGAGAGGGAATTATGGCTATGACAATAGAAAGTAGAAAAAGATACCTCGTGTTGAAACCAAAAAGGATCTAAAACCAAAAAAAAAATATAAATACACTATTAATCATAAAAAAAAATTATGATTCGAAAAATAATTTTGAAATATTGTAAAATTTTATTTTTTTTTTGTTTTTTAAAGTTAAAGTTTTATTTACTTACAGTAACGAACAAAAGGACTGGCACAGTGAATTTTTCGCAATATAGGCAAATTCCAATTATGCAGTTTAATAATCCATTCAATTTTTGTTTATCAAAGCGCAAGTTTAAAGCTGCTTGAAAATTTGAATATAAATTTGCAAAATAGTATGCAGATTTATTGAATTTTCCTGAGTTTTTCACACGGTTTACACATTTGATTTTTATGTGATTTGGTGTAGTATGAACTATGTTTTTATAAAAAACTATCGGAAATAAATGAAAAACTTTGCATATATGAAATGCGAAAATTTACTGTGCCAAACCTTTTGTTCGACACTGTACATATAAAAAAATATATACAGTAACTTCTCCCGTTACAATAGTAAAAAATATATAATTTGCTTTGTAGTGCAATCTTGCGATTTTTTAAATAAAAAATAGATATCAGAAATTAATTGTTCGTATCAATAAACTCCCAAGCACAGGTTTGTATTAAAAAAATATATCCGCAACACTTTATTAAATATTAATCTGCATATTTTATCAATTCGTCGGTATATTTTTTTACGTATGTTACCGCATACCTTTGGACTACGTTATCCGTTTTCTATAATTCTTTTTTAAAGGAAAGGTTGTTCCTCAGAGGTAATCTCCTACTTATTGAGTTTAGATCCGATAATTGGGCCATGAAGAAAATAACGGTACTCTTAAATTTGTATATGAGAATTGAAGTCGGTTTTGTTTTTTGATTAAAATTTACTCCAGCGTCCACAGCTTCTATAAAAGAGTCGTAGGCCTTTTTTTGTTAGTTCAATTGTGGAACATTTGTATGAACTGCTTCGGCTAATACTTCGGCTTTTGTTCTCTTTTTATAACGAGTCT